AATGATCTTTCCTAGTTGATGCATTCAGTTTCCGATAATAGATGCACATACGATGTCCAGTTACTGTTCTTGTAGCGATCATTTCATCTTTATCATTTTTAATGACAGTGACTCCTCCTTTCTTTGGAACAACATGAACTGGGCTAACCCAAGTGCTATCTGAGATAGGAAATATTATTCCAGCTTCTAAAAGCTTCATAATCTCCTTCTTGACAACATCCATGAGATTAGGGTTCAGTCTCCTTTGACTTTCGATTGAGTTTTTAGCATTATCCTCTAGATTAATCTTGTGCATACAAAGATCTGGAGAGATTCCAGGTATATCATCAAGTGAATATCCTAAGGCTTTTCTATGCTTTCTCAGCTCAGTCAACAGCATTGTGGTTTCTTCTTTCGTCAAACCAGAGTTTATTTTGACAGGATAAGTAGAATTTGGTCCAAGGAAAGCATACTTAAGTCCGACGGGAAGAGGTTTAAGCTCGACTTTAGGGGCTTTAAGCTCGCTCCAAGGATCATTAATTGCTGCGGCAGTGTCTTTAGGAGGTGTAGGAATGCTTGTTTGGTCCTTAAGATCTAGATAGTGAAGAGGTTTCCTATAAGTTTCGAACTTATCAAGCATACGCGCGCATTCACTCGAAATTCCTTCAAGGAAATTGCGTTCATCTTTTGCGGGTGAAAGCGTGACACTTAAAGGGTCGTCTAGAAGCAGATCTTCATAGACTTCCTCAATAATTCCGTCTAACTCATCAACCCAACAAATTTTGCCATCCAAAGTCGGTTTATCGAAACTTTTGTTCATGTCAAATTGCTTAACTAGACCGGCTAGATGAAGGTCAATTTTTCCTTCAGGAACATTGATTATGGCTCCGGCTGTAGATAGGAATGGTCTTCCAAGAATAAGGGGATCCTTAGGTTCTTTTTCTAGCTCTAGAACTACGAAATCGGTTGGTATGGAACATTTTTCGATTTCTACAGGAACATCTACTAGGATACCTACTGGTTGTCTAACGGAACGATCAGCTAGTACTAAAGAAATTTTAGTGGGTTTGAAAGTGTGATGTCCTAAACGTTTTACTACTGAAAGAGGCATCATGTTTATGCTCGATCCTAAATCACAGAGAGCACGCTCAAAAGCTACATCATTGATGGTGCATGAAAGTACAATGCTTCCAGGATCGTTTTTCTTTTCAGGGATTCAGCTTTGCAGGATAGAACTACATTCATGGGTTATCATCATAACGCCTTCTTCAAGAGTTAAAGAATTTGTTAGAATACCCTTCATGTATTTTCTTAAAGCAGGAATCATAGCACAAGCTTCTACGAAAGGTAATTTCACATTTAATTGATCAATCAACTCTTTCAGCTTAGCTTTTTCTTTTTCTTTCTTAGGGGCTCTTAAGGCTCTAGGATATGGAGGTTTAGGTTTATAGACACGAGTTGGTGGAGGTGGAATCGGGTCTTCTCCGAGGATTTCCCGGGATGTACCTTCTCTTACTTCTTCTCCATCCTTCTCTCCTACCACTTCTTTTTCAACATCTTCATTCGTGATTCTTTCTGTTTCTTTCTCATATTCCTTACCCTTTTCCTCATCTTCGGGATCTTTAGGAAATTCAGGCTCTTTGTAAGCTTATCCACTCCTAAGTGTGATAGCTTTCACATGATTGGAGGGATCTGCTTCACTTGAGCTTTCGAAAGAATTTTCACTTGGCTCCTCTTCAGAATTTTCTAAGTTTTTAGAATTAGTTTTGCTCATTATGCTAAGGAGGGTATCTAATCTTTCATCGAAATCCTTCTGCATCTCTTTTAGTTCAGATCTAAGATCACTAATCTCTTGAGACATAGATTTTTCAAACTCTAAATTCTTTTTGTTTAAGTTTTCAGCTTCAGAAGAGGGAAAACTAGGATAGGAAACAGGATTAGATTGAATAGCACAGACTGGTTCAGAAGGTGGTGTCCAACCAGGTCTGGAAGACAATTTCCCGCGGTCAGGTGGCTCACGACCGCGGTGAATCATGTCTTGGCCGCGGTCAGCAGCATCACGACCGCGGTGAAACTTTGCTTGGCCGCGGTCCGGATGCATGGACCCGCGGTGATCAGAAACGAATGGAGAATCTTGAATTTGATAGACTTCTGCAGTGTTCACCATCCCTTGATCATAAGAATCCATTGGGTTGTCCCAGCCATCAAAGTTACACGTATTGTGTACCCTATTTGGTTGTTGCAATCCAAGATGACTCATTATGTGACGGAGACACTTTATAACTTCCGAAATTTCTTCTTTCTTCTCAGGAAGTGCAGAATTACCAAAGGTTACTTGATTTCGGATGCTGTTTCCTAAGTTTTTAATGAAAACGTGAGCATCTTCTACAGATCTAGTTGTGAAATCTCCATTACTTGCTATATCAAAAGAGTGTCGCAACTCTGGAGTTATACCGCGATAGAAGATATTTAGCAGGTATTCCTCGTCATATCCATGGTGTGGACAATCTCTTTGGTATTCCCTAAATCTTTCCCAAGTATCTAAAAGATCTTCATCTTCTTTTTGTTTAAAAGTTCTTATCTTCTTTCTAAAGAGATTTGCAAGATTTCTAGTGTAAAACGATTTAGGAAAGCAGTTTTACACGCTGCCCACGTTTTTAGTGAAGCAGGTGGCAAAGATTTTAGCCATTTGCTGGCCTTATCTCTAAGAGAGAATGGGAAAAGACTACACTTGTGGTAATCCCCATTTGCTGTAATGGTTGCACATAATTCTTCGAAAGTCTCGATATGGTCTATCGGGTTTTCGAATGAATAACCAGAGAATTGATTTTGTTGAACTAAATGGATAATGGGTACCTTAATTTCGGTTTTGCCATCCTCAGGTAAGGCTGGTTGAATAGCTCTTCGATCTCCCATTAATTTTTCGAGTGAATCGAAACTTTTAATCAGTTCATCATCATCTTTGTGTTTGACCGATCCGATCAGCTCATTGTCATCATAGATCGGTTCTTCAAACTCATCATCAGTCAGGTCATCATCGCTTGGATCACCATCCACACGATTTGGTGGATCACCAAGAGTTCCGGGAACATGTTCCCGGTCTCTCATTGCAGAGAAACCTGAAAAATTCAAAAGAAAAAGTAAAAATAAACAAGTGTTCTAATGGATTTAAGCTGGGATTCGCAACGAAACAAATCAAAGTCCCCGGCAACGGCGCCAAAAACTTGATGCGATTGTAAACGGGGTGTTGTTGGTTTTCGTTTTACTAAGCTTCAGGTTTTAAATTTATAACCCCTAAATGTCTGCAAGTGCACAGATGTGCGCTGTAGTACTTAGGGTATCGATCCACAGAGACTTAGTTGTTTCAGTACGAATTCAACGCAACGCTTAAATCAGATTAGAACTAAAAGGTTTTGGTTTTGGTTTTGGGTTTTTGTTGTCACTAAATCTAAACTAGAAAGCTAAACAAGGAAAAGCAATTGAAAGTGAAAGCAAATAAAAGCAAGTAAAAATCGATTAAACAAAAGCGAATGAAGGCAACTAAATGGCGATTAAACTAGGCGATTGAAAACAAAGAACAAGCAAATGAAAAGCAGATAAATAGCGATTAAAAAGCAGATGAAATTGAAGGTTGTAAACAATTAAAGACAAACGTTGGGGCTCAAGGGGTTTCGCAGGGGTTCATGGTCTAGGCTATATCGATTTCAAGCATATGATAAAGGTAATCAACTACGTATGTTCTAGAACTCGAGGCACAGAAGTATGAATAGCCTACTTTCGCAGCACTAAACAACTATCTCTCGCAACCCTAATCAGTAGGTTTCCACTCTGATTCTGGAAGGGAGAAGATGCAATAGCAGAACAAGACTCATCAATATTCACAACTCAACTACAGGTAGGTTTCCACTCCTATAGAAGAATTGCTCGTTTCACCCTAGTTCAGACAATCAATGAAAGCTTTCGCAACATATCATATCAGATCGGCTTCTAAGTGGCCAGCAAAGAATCATGCAGTAAGATCAAAGGCAAACGAAGAACATCTAGAAGATTAATAATCCTAAATCTATCGATTCATAAGCAAAGACACATGAAATTCTCTTTGAATAATCCCTTTAAACCCAACTGGGTAACTACTCAAACATATTGTAACAAAGCATCATAAACGAAATTGAAAGTGCAGGAAACTAAAGAACAGAAGGAAGAAGAACGAAGAACGGAGAAGCAGATGGAGGCGCGATGTCTTCCTCCAGCGGCGGCTCCTTCTTCTGATGCGGCGGCCTCCTCTAGGGTTCCAGCCGAAATCCCTCTCTCTCTCTCTAAGTTGTCTAAGTTTCGGTTCTATTGGTCTCTGCCTCTTTAGAATGACCTAAAGAGGGTATTTATAGCTTCTGGGGTGGTTCTGGACACTTAGGGCTTCAAAAATAACGAAAGGAATTGATCTGGGCTTTAATTAAGTCGTCGGGAAAGTGAACGACCAAGTTCCGCGGTCGCGGTGGCTCCACCCGCGGGAAAATGGGTGTTGGCCGCGGTCCCGGCACTTGCTCTCTTCCGGAACTGCATTTTCTGTCATTCTTGCATCGGGAGTATCTGAAGATATAACCGTTGGATTGTCTCCAAACCAAGTGCATTAGAAAGCTGGTTGGATCCTCTATATTGTCTCAAATTTTGGGGGTGATCAGACGGTGAGAAGGTCTTCATCGCTTGTCATACTTCTGACGGTCTGCATTTATCGAAAATCGCTCATTTGTTCCAAATTGCATATCTTTTGCCCAAGTTTCCTGTAAAGTCTTTTCAAACTCTAAAACATTGAAAAAACTTTAAAAACATTGAAAACAGAGTTAAAACATCTGCATAAGATACAATTATGATCCATAAAAGTAATCAAAATACGGTGTTATCAACAAGTTGTCCAATTGTACCAGTCATACAAACACACAATTGTACGTAAGTGTCTCTTCTTATTTCTGGGAATAACCACCTCGCCAAATTTATTCCTGGGTTAGACCTGTTGTTTACACGTGTCAGGCGAGGTTCTCCGGTGGAGGGATATCACTTGTCTTGTTTTCTTCCACGTTTTTAGTGTAGTCTAGCGGGTGCACAACTGATTGTCTTATGTCCTTAGGAACATTCCAAGTAGACTCATGTGGCACCAGATATATGGTTCTGCAATAAGCCAATGACCAAGTCTGAATCAAGTAGTATTTCGAGCACAGGTCATAAATTTGTATATCCACTATTCTCCCTTCCTGATGCATGAGAGCCATGCTCGCGGCTATTGCATGCACACAAGGTATCTTGTCAATATCAAAACATCTGCAACTACAACTTTTCCTTAACAAATCCACCTGATATCTCTTCCCATCAACTCCAGTGATGTTGTATTCAAGTTCAGTACCGTTCAGCTCGGTAACAAGTAGGTGTGTTGCAACTGCACATCACGTATGCAACTCATTCTTCATATAGGGCACCAACTGCTTTCCTATGTTTGTTGAATAAACATTGTCTTTACTATGCTTGTTGAACCATTCAGACAATTTTTTAACATATGCATCAATCAAAGGCAGTAAAGAGTACTTCCTTGCCCTCTTGAAAACACTGTTCATCGATTCACAAGCATTGCTAGTGTCCAAGTTGTACTTGCCTCCTTTGAAATAGCACCTAGCCCATTTTTCCACAGGAACACTTCCATCTAGATAATCTGCGGCTTTAGGAAACCTCCTCCCAAAATCAATGTATGCGCTGATGAAGTCATATTCGGTATACATATGAGCACAATCTCTGAATTTTGCTGAACACATTTCTTTCTAACTGACCCCAGCTCTACCTCTCACGTTCTGTGACAAATGCCACACGTAATGTCCATGCTGATACTGAGGGTGCACTTCCTAAACTGCCCTCATAATGCTCCTATGCCTGTCACTCATAAACACCAGTTCTTGATCCTCAGGTATAACAATTTTGAGTGTTTCAAAAAACCACTTCCAACTTACATCTTTCTCCCTATCAATTACACCCATTGCAATGGGGTAATGGTGATGATTAGGATCTTGAGCTGTAGCAAATACCACCATATATATTATTCAGAAATGTTGCATCCACAACTATGACTTTTCTCATTGCTCTAAAACCTTCAATGCTAGCACCCAAAACAATGAATAGATACTTGAACGTATTTTCAGCATCCATCTTCACACATGTTACTGTTCTAGGATTTACACTCTCTAACACGTACAGATAAGAAAACAATTTCCTAAAACTTTCTGCAGGACTGCCTCTCACTTTACTAACAGTTAGATTTTTTCCTCTCAATGCAGTAGAGTAAGACACATTTATTCCAGCTTCTACCTGAACATCATTGATTATATTTTTGGGTGCAGGGGTGTTAATCTGACCTGGATATACATCACGCTAGACATATGCAACTTTTTGTGGAGTGCATTTCCTTCTCTTCCGACCTATACTCGCAACAACCCTAGAGGCTAGAGTATGTATGTTTACTCCTATAAACTCTGAAACTGAAATAAGTGGATTCCTTAATTTTTGCAGCATGTAAATACCATGGACACCCACGTTCAGCTTGTTGGCATTTCAGTATGACTCGATCCTGATCAGACTTTTCAGTTTTTTAACCCCAAAACACCTTTTATGTGCAGCTTTGTCAATCAGAACTCTTGATGCCTCCTTTGAACAGAATTGTTGACCTTTCTCAAAAACCGCACCATATTCCCATTCTAGAACAAACTGAGTTTGTTCTACATTTTGTGGAGGCTCAACATGTTCATTCTCATAAAAACCGGCATCCAAACCATCATCATTCTCCATCTGGTTCTCACTATCAGGCTCGTTAGTAGGCTTGTTCTATTGATTTCCTCCTTCCTCAGCCCTGTAAAGAGTCATGATACCAGCATTAGCTACATTATCCCCTATTACAAGCTCCTCACATGGCTTATCTCTCTTATCTGTTTCCAAATCTTCGATTAGCTCCATATTCAAAACAGATCTGAGACCATCTTTATCCAATGTCGTTAGATAAGCATAAACATCATCATCACCGAAAAATACATGAATCCATTTTAGGCTTAGCTACCAATGGAATGTAACTCAATTTCAGCTTCGTCGTACTAGCGTTTACAGCAATCTTCTGGCATATCTTCTCTATAAGTGCTGAATAAGTAATCCCATCCAACGATAATGTTTTAAATGATATAGCATAGATAGGATTTACTGAAATTCAGTTAAACTCCTCCTCGTTCCATGAATAAGATCATCCATCAAAATGTATGTTGGTGTGGCTAATGCTCATTGTCTCCAAGTAAAACCAACGAAAAACACAATTACCCATTACGTTTCTTACAGTTATACCTTTTGTACTAGTTGTCCTGTATTTCTCAATTAAACATTTGTACCAGTTGTCTCACATTTCTCAGTTTTAAGATTTGAACCAGTTATAACATTTGTCCTAGTTGTCCCATATTTCTCAGTTATACCTTTTGTACCAATTTTCTAAATTCCACAGATTTCTTCGCTAAATTTTTTTTGTTTCACATCTACCAAACATATTTATCAACAATAATTAACAAATTAACAATGACTCGAATAGAATTGACCCTAAAAGCAACTTACATAGCCAGTGTGATTAGTGAAACGACCAATTTTACAACAAATACAATCCCTAATTTAAAAATCCCCTAATAACACTACACCATACCTTTTGGAGGCTTCTCACACAAATGGCGGATAACACAGGAGCAGTCTTTATGAGCAACAAAATGAGACGATTGCAGAGAACGACGGGGCTGGATCGAGTGGAGCTATATCCGGCGGACCTGTATCAGGGGAGCTCGGAGAATAAGAAGCTAAAAAAAATTATTAATTTAATTAATTTCGCTTTTAATATATTACAATATCGATAAATTTTAAATATATTGAATAATCGAATTCATTAAAGGAATCAAATGCTAAAATGCCATAATTCGCTTAAAAAAGAGCCCCAATGCCATCGGGGGAATAATCAATTCGTTTTTAATTTTTTTTAAATAGCAAAAAGGTGGTTGTTTACTATCCTATCCATGAATTTCTCGTTAATTACGAGAATACCTGGGTATTTGAAAATCCACCCAACTAAAATCGGATCCGACCCGCGTATCTTTGGATTTACCCTAATGAAACTTCACTTCTTCGTAAAAAACCTCCATACAGTTAATTGAAATTCGAAAAAAACCTCCTTGAGAGTTTTCCAGCGTAGAATCCGGCGAGTGTTGATAGAAGTAAACCGATTGCGTTCGTTTTATTTCCACTCCACCATCTACAACTTCCGTTTTAATCGATTTCTCCATCTTCGGTTCGTTTTGAGTTCTCCATGGCTCGTGTGAAACAAAAAGGCGTCGAGTATGAGTCAACTGAAAGCCGGGAAACGTTGCCTGAAACGGAATCGCATTCTCCAGCCGCAGCGAGAGAATCTGAAGTAAATCCTGAAGCCGCCGATAAAGAGAAAGGAAATATTCCTCAAGCCGATGTAAACCCTATTCCCACCGAAGCCGCGAGAAAGACAAGCGAAGATGTTTGTATTTCACAAACAGAAATGGAGAAGGAAACGTCTCTGAATCCTATCGAGGAGACCGCGGCCCAAAAAATCCCCACAGAAGATGAAACCGAAACGATAAACCCCACGGAAGAAGAAGAGGAGGCTGAGGGTGACGAAACAGAGGATGGGAAGGAGGATGGTGAAGAAGAAGAGGAGGGAAAGGAGGGTGAAGAAGAAGAGGAGGGAAATGAGGAGGGTGATGTAGAAGAGGAGGGTGATGAACAAGATTCGGGAAATGAAGAGGCTGATGAACAAGAGGAGGGAAATGATGAGGCTGAAGAAGAAGAGCAGGAGGCCGAATAACAAGAGGATGAGGATGAAGAACAAGAGGATGAGGCCGAAGAACAAGAGGATGAGGCCGAAGAAGAAGAGCAGGAGGCTGACGAAAAAGAGGATGAGGCTGAAGAACAAGAGCAGGAGGGTGAAGAACTAGAGCAGGAGGCTGAAGAACAAGAGCATGAGGCTGAAGAGCAAGAGCAGGAGGATGAAGAAGTGGAACACGAACCCTCACCGGCGAAGGTATGTGTTTAATAGATAGAGTCTACTGAGATAAATGGGACAACTTTGAACAATTTAAGGTTTACTGGTATAACATTATGTAATTGGAGTATAAGTCGGACAAATAGGACAATTGTGGGAAAGATGTTTAACTGGTTTTGGTACAATTTCGTACAAGTGGGACAACTGAGTTAACTAGATTAGTTGTACAATTGGAACAACTGGGAAACCTTTGTATGCGGATAATAGATAGAGTCTACTGAGATAAATGGGACAACTTTGATCAATTTGAGGTTTACTGGATAACATTATGTATTTGGAGTATAAGTAGGACAAATAGGACAATTGTGGGAAATATGTTTAACTGGTTATGGTACAATTTCGTACAAGTGGGACAACTGAGTTAACTAGATTAGTTGTTTCGGACAAGTGGGACAACTGAGTTAAGTAGATTAGTTGTACAATTGGAACAACTGGGATAACTTTGTGAGACTGTCTTTGGATTTCAGGATACGGATGAGGGAAACCAACCAATGGGACCTGAGAAGCTCTACTTCGGTCCAACCGAGTATAGCAAGACGGCAAGGATAATGACGAGATGTAGTATGAAGCATGTTTTTGAAGTGATAGAGTCTCTTCTAGAAGAGGTTAAATGGTTCAGATCACACCAGCAGTTTAAGCACATTTTTCATATGGCTAGGGAGCCAAATCACATGAATCAAGGACTTTGGATGCTGCTCCTTCACACAGCTTATACTGAGAGGCGAAATGAGTTTTGATTTGTGGTTAATGGAGTTCCTATCAGGTAATCTATGAGAAATTAATTGGAATTTACTGCCATGATTACCCGCAAGACTATAAGAAATTGGGGAGTTTGAAATTTGTGGAGAGAATGTTTGGAAGGAAAGGTCAAATAAAAATCGCAGATGTGAAAGCTCAGTTACTCTCAATGGAGAATCCCTCTCTAGACAGGAAGAAGATGGCAGTCTTGTATTTTTTATGCATAGTACTGAAAGCGAAATCCAAGCCTGATGGGAACATTGATGAATTCTTGCTTAGAGTGGTTTCTGATTTGAATTTGTGTAAAAGGTTTCCATAGGGGCGCTACACATTTGATGAGACCATAAAGAAGATCAGGCGAGTGGTGACCAAGTTTGATGGCCAAGTGAGAGCAAAAGGAGAAGCATGTTCGTTTTCTGGTTTCATTGTTCCACTACAGGTTAGTCTCATTTTAATAGTGTCTAAACGTTATGATTTTTAGGATTGTAACTTTGATATTTTATTTTGTAGATTCTTGCATTTGAATGTATTCCAAATCTTGGACGCAAATTTAGAGAAGCTGTACCTGCTGCGGATGACTGTCCAAAGATGTGCAAACACAAATTCACCGAAATTGCAATGAAAGGAATACCTTTGGATGACATCAATGAAGCCATTGGTACTACTACTGAGGTGATTTTTCATTGCATTAGATTATGAGTTTGTATGGATGTTTGGATGATGATATTTATTAAGCGATTGGTACTACTATTAATAGGATATTTCTAGCATCTTGGAAGCTGATTCAGGCGAAGAAACTCTATTGGTGCGCATATTGGAACCCGGATTCGATGATGGGATAGGGTATATTGATCCAGTTGTTGAGAATTGGATTGATTACCTAACCATTCAGAATAAGAAGATCTGTTGGAAAGATCTATACGAGATGGAGATTGG